CATTAAACACTCGCAAAAAAAATACATTAAACGAAATAGATGGAAAGGTGTTCGTCCATGGTGCAGACATTATCATGAATATTAGAAGTTTGGGTGCATTTTCTCTACTCTCGGGAGTAGCTACTCTCATCTTCAATGAACCATATTGCATATGTATGCATACTTATTTATAAGTTTGGGAATATTTATATACTCATTTTAAGATACTACAAATCTTACTACGTGAACTTTTTTTCAAAAGAGCCCATATTTTGTTAATATATTATTATAATACCATTATATTAGTATATAAAATAAGTGCAACAATAACCTTTATGTATATTTGCATACTTGTCATATACATACTACCTTAGATGGTCTAGTATTATCATATAATCCATCTATATACACTTTGTCCGGCTATATACACTCAAATCTAGACATACACATGGGTAATTACACCCTGGGAGAAGGAAATTATTTTCCTTAGAAATTTTCTATATAAATTCACCACTTTATCAATCTATGATAATTTTTGTGCGAATTAAGCACCGAATTACCGGACAAAGTATGGTTACAAGACTGAATTAGGGATAGAAAATTTTGAGATCTATCTCAAGTAGTTAAGTTCGGTCTTCGGTCATTGGTCAATTATGTTCCTCTAATTTCAAGCAATGTTTTTGAGCTCATGTGTCCTGTGGACAATATTCATGTTAAGTATGGGGACACCAAAGATTATAAATGAAAGGAACACCTGGAGTAATTCCACTGCTGTGAAAATTCCTTAAAACTAACCTTTAGTCCAAATTCACTCTCCTATTTTTGTTTATGCCCACTGTCCCAGTTCCAAATGGGTGAAGACGGAGGTTAAAAAACATTGCCAAAAGAAAAGAAAAAGTACAGTTAGATGATTGTGGGACCAGACGGTCGAGTGGGCCCATGGACGGGTCATGCGTGGCCCAACCGCACGGTCATTTTCGCGCGTGTGTGTGCCTTCCAGCTGGTGACTGGACCGCCCGGCCGGACCAGAGCAATTCCCTTTCCATGTCTTCTCCTGGCTAATGGATCGCAATAATGACATGGACCAAATTGCACCCATCCCTCTCAGAGTCTCAGGGCTAATTACCTAGCTATTTGCTGCTCCAGTGCCGCGAAAGGAAAATAGTGAAGTGATTGACAAAAATTAAATAAAAATATTCGCACGCTTGAAATTATGCATGGATCGGATGCACGTGGTGACATTTTTCTCTTTTTTTTTTTGAAAAAAAATACTAGGGAAGAGGCAAGTTAGTATGTACTAAAGTGTAACTTCTATAATTTTAATCTTGTGTGTACATGTTAAGCACGCTAAAAAAACCAAGTGCGCTCAAATAAATGACTGCTTTTAATTGCTATCATGACGACCAAACTAGCAAAAGCTTTGTCTTGGAGAAAAAGTTTGAATGGACTTATATAGGCTAGGAAAAGGAGAGATATATGAAGCTACTACAAAAGGAAGTGAAACTAATGGTTATCTAGTCCAAATTAGCAACCGCAATTTGGTTGCTTATAAAAAAGCAAGATCAATTATATTGATTAGGATATGTGCTTTAATTTGGTTGTGTGTCTCTATTTATAATTTGGTGCATAGGCTAGAGAACAACCCCCATTAATATCCAAAAAATGTACTAGAAAATTGTTATTTTTACAAATTGTAGTGGCCAGCCTCTGTTATCTTTACAATAAGGTCCTCGTACACTCAGATGGAGCCTAAACATGTGTGTGGCCATGTGGTAAATTAAAAGAAAACACCCTAGTTGGGAGGAATAATTTTGGGTGTTAGACTGCTAGTACATATGTGTTCTAAAGTTACTCCCTTCATTCTAAATTATAAGAGGTCTTGACTTTTCTAGATATATTGATATAACTACGTATCTAGACATAGTGTATTTAAATGCATAGCAAGATTTGTGTATCTAGAAAAACTAAAACGTCTTTGTAATTTAAAAAGAGTAAATTGCACGACCGGTCCTTAAAGTATTCGACGGTTTTCATTTGGGTCCCCAAACTATGAAATCGCATATTTAGCTACCTAATGTATTTAAGTGATCTCATCCAGGTCCAAAATAGATACGAGGAGGATTAGAAGCTGACGTGGTCATCCACGTGGACATGATTTGAACAGAAAACACCTGAGACATGCAATGTCCCCATCTGGGTCCCTGGCAGTGCTCGTCGGTCGAGCACGCGATCACGTTCACCGCGAGGGTGACGAGCATGTGCTCTTGGACATGCAACGACAGCTCAGAGCACGTGCACCCGCGCCACACGCCCAGCAGCAGGTAGTAGTCGACGTTGCATGCCTCACCGGCGGCGACGCGGCTGCGCAGCCCCTGGATGCTAGCCGTCAGTTTGCGGTGCGCGCCGGCGATCTCGCGGTATCAAGACGCCACCCACCGCGGCCGCCACCGGGGCCTAGGAGCTTGCCATCGCGGAAAGCGCGGCGTCGTCTGACAGAGCTTGAGGTGGTCAAGGTCACGGAGGCGATCGGCGAAAAGCACACGGACCGGAGGAGGTCGGCGTGCACACGAGCGCCGGATGTAGTTAGGGTCGAGGCGGCGCGCGATTCTACGATCCACGATGGCGTCGGCCAGACGCCACCGCCCTAGAACACGGCGGCGTGGCCGACGAGGCGGCGGCAGCAACGGGTGTGGCGGCATGCCATGGCATGCCTCGAGGATCTTGGTGAAATGGCACACACCTCGGCGGGAGGCCGGCGTCTAAGCGCAGCCATATGCGCCATGGCGCCAAGGGCGCGGGCGCAGAGCTTCACGCACCAGAGCTGGGACACGGCCTTCGACTCCATCGCCGGGATTATGAATGCCGAACCGGACTTGGATGTTTTGCCGAACGGACGGAGGAGCAGCGATGCGGCGGCGGCGACGACGAGACGCTATCGTCCGACCAAAGACACGCTCTCGCGGCGGAACGCCCCTCCGAAGCGAGAGCGGCGGCGGTCTGGAGGAGCAAGACCATAAGCGTCCTCAATGAGGTCGAGGTGGAAGCATGCTTGCCCGGACCAAGTACACAGAGAAGGGTACTAACCATTAGGAAACCAGTCGGATTCGTGAAATCAAGACACCGATTCGTTCAATCTTTGAAGCTTTCGTACCTCCACCGGGTGTCCATGTTTGGATTCTTGGAGAGGCCGGCAAGGACGCGGCGCTTGAGCTCGTAGATGTCGAGCGGCGGAAGGAGCGGACGAAGCGGCGTTAGGCTCGTGGTCGCGTGGGAGCGGGTGGCGATCGGGCGAGAGGAGCTTGGCATGGGAAATCATGACGAGGTCACCGGAGTCGGTGGATAGGAGGGACGCCGACGAGGATGAAGAGGTGTCCTCGCCAAAGCACGACTTGCTGTAGTTGGGGATGTAATCACGGAGCATCTCGCGACCTCCTCCTCAGAAGGCGTCGTAAGCGCGAGAGAGAGCGCGCGTAGCTCCAACCGACGACTGCGAGGGTGACGATCACGTCTGCGTCGCCGCCGCCATGCCCCGTCATTGATGGCCGGGGCGGGACGGGAAACTCTGGTCCGTGCTGCCCCACCGGAGGATGTCGCCGCGTCGTCGGCGTACTCCAAAGACGGCAGCGAGTGCCGATGCTGTTGTTTAAGATGACGAACGGGTTGTTCGGCAGCAATGCAGCCGCGACCACCATGTAGTACCGGCATTCAACAACCCACACAAGGCGCGCGGTCGGCCGTGAGTGAGAAAGCACGCCGCCAGCGCGACGTCTCCGGTCTGGCCGAGGAAGACCAATGAGCGGCTCGAGTAGAGCTAGAGGAGGAGACGACGGCGGAGGCTAGCGCCGAGGTGAGTAGGAAAGCTCGCAGTGCACGCCCATCGTCCGTGACGCCGCGCGCGCGTGCACTTTGCCCCGCCTACAAGCGCTCTCAATGACCCGCTTCGGCGTGGCGGCGACGAAAGCTGCAGTCGGGCGGGTGGCCGGCGAAACATAGCGGACACGAGCGGGATGGCGTAGTAGGCCATGCTGGTGGCCACCATGGGTGTCCACTTCCCTATGCGTACACGGACGTCAGGTCGTGACCTCCTCCATTAGTCCGAGCACAAGCACTCCCCAACGGCGACCCACGCTTGAGCAGAGCGGCGGCGCTCGCCCGCGGTGGCTTGCGCACAAGGCGGAGCGGCCGTGCTCGCCCACGCCGGCCTACGCGGACAACGTGGTGGACGCCGAGGGACTCCTGGAGGACTAGAGCAGCGGCGAAGCGGCAGTGCTAGTGGCCGTCATGCCGTTGAGGACCAGAGCAGCGGCGACGCTGCAGCCGCTCATGTGGGCTCTCGCGCGGTACGCCGAGCAGACCCGCTGTTGGGCCGTGGCGCTCAAGGACACGTGGCTGGAACGAGTGACCAATTGCAGCACCTGCTCATGCAAATCCGTGGGAGTGAACACTAGGTACTGTGGGACCCTCAACTCGGGTCTTTATGTTCAAATCATGTCCACGTGGACGACCACGTCAGCTTCTAACCCTCCTCATGTCTATTTTGGACCTGGATGAGATCACTTAAATACATTAGGCAGCCAAACGTGCGATTTTATAGTTTGGTGACCCAGATGAAAACCACTTAATACTTTAAGGACCGGCCGTGTAATTTACTCATTTAAAAAAGAGGGAGCAATATAGTATACGTGTGTTTGTATTGTGTTGAAAGGGTATCAAGCCACACGACCCCAAAATAAAAGATTTGCAGAAAGTTGAATCTTATTATTTTCAGGGTGGTATGTGCAAAATTGGACGGCCATGCAACGCATTATCATGAGCGTATTATTCTACACACCCACCCTGCTGGCATTATTACTCGTGGCCCCTCTTTCCAATCCATTGCATTTGCAAGCCTTTACATTGCAAAGCCTCCTTCCTCCTGCAAAGCAAAGCAAACGAAGAAGAAGCCAACCAGCAGAGAAGAAGCAGGGAAGGAGAGACACCAGCAGCAAGCGAGAGGTGAAGAGGTGGCGACTGCAGCAGCAATGGCGACGGACCTGGGGTTCGAGGAGACGGAGCTCCGTCTGGGCCTGCCCGGCGGCGGCGGGGGAGAGGTGGGCGCCGAGGGGAGGAGCTCCTCCTCCTCCGGCAAGAGGGGCTTCGCCGAGACCATCGACCTCAAGCTGAAGCTGGAGCCGGCGACCCCCGCGGCCGCCGTCGTGAAGGCGGAGGAGGACGAGCAGGACGACGGTGTTGCCGCCGCCAAGGAAGGCGTGACCGCCGCGGAGGAGGCCGGCGGGAAGATGAAGCGGTCCCCGAGCCAGAGCAGCGTCGTCACCGCCGCCGCCGCCGTTCAGGCTGACCCCGCCGAGAAGCCGCGCGCCCCCAAGTACGTCGCCGAGCACTTGTCGTTTCCTCCCTGTCTCTCTCTCCCTCTCCAGCTTCGTTCGTTGATCTAGCAGCTACCTCTGCTCCGGACGTAGTACGTGCATGCATGCTTAATTAGCTCTCTAATCGTCTCATGTCTGCATGCACACCGGCTTGAATTGACTCAAAATTCCTTTCTTCTTAATGAAATAAGAGTACAACCCCGTTCGCGAAAAAACTCGCTTGAATTGACTAATCTCTCTCTTGAGATCAGCTCATTTGTTTTGTTCATATAGCTAGATAGATCCTTGTAGCTATATATATATAGTATATCTAATAAATTCCAAATCCAAATCTAATGAACCTGCCATGACGCGGAGCTAATTAACAAATTTACCCTTAATTAGGTAGTTAACTAATATAACTAGCTGGCCAGAAGACTAGCTCTCTCGAGGTACGTACAGTACATACATTATTCACAGTGAAACTGCCTGAATCATGCATCACACGACTCCTTCATGTGCATGCAGCCATATGACGACGAGAATAACCTCTTGTAAACGGTTTACATGCATGGCCTATATGTTATATTTTTCATTCATGGCACAGGTACCATTAGATTTGGATTTGGAAAAGATATATTAGAGCAAAGATTTAAAGTAGTGCCCAGGCCATTATATATTTTCTAGTCATCGATCACAGGCCATTCGAACCTCAGAAGCAGATCGGCATATATACGTGTACGCCTAAAATAAACTTGCCGAGATCTGGACGTCAGTACGTCACAACTCACTGCACAACAAGAACAAACACATATATATAGCAAAGATCGGTGCAACGGCCAACGGCAAGGGAAAAGCACACAGACTTTTTATTTTTCTCATGCAGCAAGTTAGAACACAGCACAGTTTAATTGGATCTAGCACACATATATGTAGAATTGTCGTTAATATATATATATAACCATGCATTCTTGTTCATCCATCGAAGAACACGATGCGTGCAACAGCTGCCAGCTGGATGAAGAGAGAAGATGAATTGAAGGGATATGATAAGAACTAGTACTAGTCGTAGCAGTAGATGATCGAGGCAGGAGGAGGAGAGACATGGGCACGTTACGTGTGGGGGCAGTGGGAGACAGCAGCTAGTGCCGACACTATAAAAGAAAGGAAAGAAAGAAAGCCCCCACCACGTACTGTTGCTGCTGCCTGTTGCTTTGCTCTAATCTCCCCCTCTCTCTCTCGCTGGTACAGTAACAGTGTCATTTTTGTTCACATCAACATCATTTTCCTCCCTTCCACATCACTTTCACGTTCATGCATCCTGATCGATCGCTCCAGGCTTCGAATTGATGGCACGGTAGAACAGATAACTACCAGTAGGTTTTTAAATATATATATTTTTTACTTTTTAGTTCTGTTGCCCATACTGCTCCTGCCTAGTTGCCTGCCGAGGACTATACATAGGCCCTGTTTTGTTTGTTACAGCTTATCTGGAAAGCGCTTTCTAGATAAGCTGCATAAATAAAGTAAAAATGACGGTTAAAATAAGTTGGTCTAATCAAGCTTCTATTTTTTTATATAAATGGGAGCTATGGGAATAAATATGGCCAGAATAAGCTGCTAAAAAATATAACATTTAGCTATCGATTTTAGCTTATTTTGACAATAAGCAACTTATAAACTGTACCAAACATGCTCCATGCGGCATGGTCCTAAGCTACATTGCATGCATGCATTGGGTTCACCGTTCACGGATCGCCGCTCTAGATCTGCGCGCTGTCCCCTCCTCTTTTTCCTTTTTTTTAAAAAAAACATATTTTGCAAATGTCTATGTATTTTGGGGAAGAAAAATAAGGACCAAATACTAGCGGTGTTACAACTGTTGTAGGATAAGGATAGAAATGGAGAGTACACACGTTTTGCAAGAAAGATAACAAGGGTGAAAAGGTGCCAAATTAAATCGGAAGGTAGCACCCCACCGTCCACAAACAGTACATGTGCCACCACCACCAAAGGTTCCTCCTTTTCCATGAAATAAAACCGATGATGCCCTCTCCTCCAATAGCACCACTTCCGTCCATGGACCACAAGGCCGGTCGAGCTGATCTATAGGCACATATATATATACACACACATACATATACATATATGTGTTTGTGTTACATGCTACAAATCATAGTACAAAATAAAATGGTGTGGTAAAAAGTATAGTAACAACAGCAAATTAAAAGAACAGAACGGAACAGCTTAAGTTGCATGCAATTTGCAGTAAAGTATATGTACTTATAAATCTAGTTCTGGATCTCTATGGATGTCTCGGCTAGTGTGTGTTTTGATCTGCATAATAAGTACTACTAATCTTGTCGTCATCAGTATGTACTATGTAGTTGGTTTTGACATATGTGTATGCATGTATCTGCAGGGCTCAGGTGGTGGGATGGCCACCGGTCCGGTCGTTCCGCAAGAACATCATGTCGGTGCAGTCCGACAAGGGCGCCGGCGGCAGCAAAGACGCCGACAAGTCCTCGCCGACGGCGGCAGCAGCGGCAGCGGCTGCTGGCGGTGGTGCGGCGTTCGTGAAGGTGAGCTTGGACGGCGCGCCCTACCTGCGCAAGGTGGACCTCAAGATGTACAAGAGCTACCAGGAGCTGTCCAAGGCGCTCGAGAAGATGTTTAGCTCCTTCACCATTGGTAGTACACTTAACAATTACTACTAAATCCGTTCTAAATTATAGTTCGTTCGACTTTTTTTACCCTAAATTTGACCACTCGGCTTATTCAACAATTTCTAGTTAAACCACTTGCCAGTACATGAAGTCCATAATTTTCACGGGCTGAGGATTAACTGGAACTTGGGTAGATAGATATATGATTGCATTGGCAATTTGGCATTCATTCATCATGCATGTGTGGTGGTGGTCGCCATGTGGTTTTGCCAGTGGTGCGCACCATGATTTGCATTGCATCCTTGGTAGGTGTCCGCCCTGGCTGGCATAATGCCCTTGTCCCTCCAACACATCCTCCTCCTCCTCTAGCTTAGCTACCTGCATGCTGCTTGTATGTACATCATATCATGTAGCAGCTGGTGGAGCATGATCATGTGTGCACGCTTGATAGATGATGATCACCAGTTAGCTCCCATCATTGCCATGTGCTAGCTGTTCTTGGAGTTTCCGTCTCTAAAATAATCCACGTGTTCATCGGCGTGCACATATCTTAGAGCTAGAAACAAGAAAAGGTCTGCGGTTGCTCAGCAACATATCTTGTATGCATTATTTGATGGATTCCATATCGAGCTAGCTTTGACAGTTGCCTGTAATCCGTTCGTTCATACCGAACCTCAGATTCAAATGAATTTCAAAAATGTTTGTATACTCCTCGATCTGTTGTTTGCAGTACGTACATTATTGCAGAGCATATCCTACCTTGACTTGGATTGTTCAGAATAACTAACCGACTTTCTGATATACTTTTCTCGCATGAATGAATGATGGTGTGGTTCAGGAAGCTGTGGGTCTCAGGGGATGAACGGCATGAACGAGAGCAGGCTGGTGGACCTCCTCAACGGCTCCGAGTACGTGCCGACCTACGAGGACAAGGACGGCGACTGGATGCTCGTCGGCGACGTGCCGTGGGAGTGAGCACTACTGCTTCTTCCTGCATTATATTTATATATTACTGCCTATTCTGAAAATATGCGACGTGATTTTATCATCAGCTTCATCACTGATCGTGGTATTTTCATTTCAGGATGTTCGTCGAATCATGCAAGCGCCTTCGGATCATGAAAGGATCAGAAGCCATTGGCCTCGGTGAGTTGACATTTATGATTATTATTGATCTCAACAGAAGGCAAGGTTCAGATGAAATTTCCTAGGGTAGTAAGTTGCTCATTTCATTTGGTCTCCATCTCTGAATTTTCAGCACCGAGGGCCATGGAGAAATGCAAGAACAGAAGCTGAGGAGAAGATGGAAGCTTGCATCTCAACACCATGGATAGATGCAAGAAGAACCAATCTCCATAGCTTTCGCAGCTCTGCTCGTCTCTGTATCATACTCGTCCCTGTCCTCCAAGCCTCTATATCTCCTGATCAATGAAGTCATTTTGGTGTGTCAACTGTTCTATCTGTGCCAGTTTGTCAGTAAACGAGTCAGTCAGTGTTCAAGTCTCATCTTGTCCTATACAGAAGAGAGAAGCCATGAACATGTACCTGTCCTATAACAATGTCTTTTTGCACTACCTGTTCTCTCCTCTTCTTCTTCTTTTTTTTGGTGGCACAAAATGCAAATGCACCCTGCTCCTAATCAAGGGGCCCTTTTGCATCTTGTCCATCAAAAGTTGTTTAGTTATAATTACCACGGTCTGTCAGTGGACAAATAATTGTTGCAAGCTGTTATAAAAGTTGTATTGTATGATCTTTGCTCTCCCTCTCTTATTTATTATTTATATATATATATATATATATATATATATATATATATATATATATATATATATATATATATATATATATGATATATATATTCTGTGTTGGGTTGGATACTTGGATAGACGTTGCACTGCTGTGCATACCTGTCTCTGTGTTTTTTTTATATGTGGAGCCAAGCCAACTTGGAGACAGGAATACAGGATCCTTTAAAAAAGTACTTGGAGACAGGATCATACCATGTGCTGCAGGATCATACAGTGATGGGGCACTGTGTTTTTATATCTCTCCCTTCAACCACTTCAAACTTCCCAGCTTCACACTACTATTATGAGGCATCACACTTTGCTGCATCTTTTGCTGTCTGCTGCAGTACTATTCTATACTACATGCCAGTGTTTGGTACATTGTGCCTGCCCCATGTCCTGAATGATAAAGGATGCAAATGCAAATGCAAGGTTGGCAGCTGCCCAAAGTTGAGCTGTTGTTTTCTCTGTTTTCTAGAGAGAGAGAGAGAGAGAGAGAGAGAGAGAGGAGAGACATTGCATTGGAGTGCTGGAAGTTGCTGCCACTTTTGAACGTGTTTAATTAGGCAAAACATATTTGCCTTTGGAGATCATGTCCCCTAACAATGATGGCAGGCCAGCTTTGAGTCTTTTCAAGTGCCTGCCCCTTGTCCGGCTTTATTTCAAGACAATCTGTGCTGCTTGTACCAAGAAATTGTCCAGCGCACGGATGTTGTTATCTATGGATAACCATCCCTTTGCTGCCTAAAACCGATGCAGCAACTTTTGATGAGCCACTGGGTAACTTGTCCCCGAAGGTTACAGCATGTTTGTTTGGCACATGTAGTGTTTACCATCGAAGTTTGACTACTACTTTCAGAATCATGGTAATTTATAAACCAAAGTTTTTAGCCAATATTTACCCCTCATTTTTCTGGAACGTAAATCTTTTACAAGCTTTTTTACTCCCAGATGGGATGAAAATGTACAGAGGTGAATGTTAGTTTACAGAGAGTGTGTGGCTTAGGCCCGTGATCCTGGACAATAAAGTTCCTAATCACTTCTAGAACAAAAATATGATATTGGACACAAATCTGAAGGGTCTTTATGTTGGATATATTATGGGCTTGGCCCATATAATATTTAATAAATTAAATAAACTCTATGGCTCATAATAATGCGCGATATATGGTTTAATACCGTACGGAATTTTGACTAAATGTTGACTTGGTTTATATGGTTGGATATTGTCTATCTATATTAAGAAGCTGAGAAAAGGACGTGGGTGTGCCACACGCGCGCCGCCACCGCCGACCATGGGCGTTGGTGTGGCTGGCTGGCGGGCAGGCGGACGGGAATGGTTTTACCACTCAATCCACATAATTACGGAAGTCTCTCTTTTATGTTGGTGGCGACTTCATTGCGGGAGTTTCGCCTGTTACTGCCGTCTTCTACGTCCGCATGCTTTCTCCGTCCTCTGATCTCCTCCTGAGCCCATTCACTTCCCTGGCCGTGAGCATATAATCTCAGCTCCTCCGTCAGTCATTCAGCTTCGCTTCCGAGACACCACATATTCAGCTGCTCTCTAGTTCTCCCCGTCCCGGTTCCTGCGCGCACTGGAGCTGGGAGAGTAGGCCTCCGAACGCCTATCGTTTTCGAGTTTGCCTGCTCGGGTGACTACTCGTTGCCCTCTACTTCCTGGAGGATCACTGGTGATCGGCACGGCTTCTCATTTGCACTGCATCGAGCGAGATGACTACATTGACAGGCACTATGTCTTCGAGTGCATCCGGCTCTGCCGCTGGGTATATCTCTGGAACGAACCTCTTAAGGTCTTGGCTGTCAATCCTTAGTTTGAGTATCATCTACATGCTCCTCACGTTTAAGACACACAAGCACATATATGATGCCACCAACATGTTCATATTGCTTTATGTCTTTTTCTGGATTAAATTGCTACTAAAATTGCCTAATATTCTAACAACCCAAAAACATGATAGGCAATTCTTGGTAGTTGGCTTTGCGAGTATGCTGTAACCGAATATCTTTGAGGGCACTCATTACAAGAGGTGGTGACAGAGGTGCATACTATGGTTGACTTCTATACACTGTTATTTTGTTGTTGAACCTAGGGCTGTTGGACCGCATACTCCTAATGAGGAGTGTGCGTTCAAACATGATGACACTACGTTCAAGGCAGCAATTTTGAGTGTGCTTGGAGACACCATAGTTGATGCATATGTGCCGCTACAGACCGGTAAAGTGATGTGGGACGCACTTGAGGCCAAATATGGGTTTCTAATGCTGGTTCTGAGTTGTATGTCATGGAGCAGTTTCATGACTACAGGATGGTCAATGGCCATTTTGTAGTGGAACAAGCTCATGAGATACAAACACTGGCAAAAGAGCTCGAAATTTTTGGTTGTGTGTTGCCTGATAAGTTTGTGGCAGGCTGTATCATTGCTAAGCTACCACAAGCTTGGACAGATTTTGCTACTTTTCTTAAACATAAGAGATAGGAGTTTGGCATTGCCAAGCTCATTGGCTCTTTGGATGTTGAAGAAAAGGCAAGAGCAAAGGACGTCCGTGGCAAGAAAATTGGTGAGGGAAGTTCTAGTGCCCATGTGGTGCAGAAAAATCCTCCCAAATCCCACAAGAAGAAATTTCAGCAAGAACTCAAACAAAAGTCTACCACTCCTTTTAAGAAAAAGAAGAAGAAGGAAAAGGAAAATTGTTTCACTTGTGGCAATCCTGGGCACTATGCTAGAGAGTGCGAGGAGGCTAAGTGGGAGCCAAACAAGAAAACAACAAACACAGTTGAGGCTGATGCAAGAGCAACGGGTACGGTAATTTATTACCTACTGTTCTTTTAGTTTGTGTAGCACCCTGTTTTAAGAACAAAACTAGATACACACCATATGTGAGTCCTAGGAAGTCAAATCTCACATATAACTACAAATAAGGGTAATATCAAAAGACAATGCTCAATATATAACGTACTTAGTATAAAGGATATAACCTTAGATAGTAGACAGCGGAAAGACAACTCCGATCTTTAGGTGAATACTCCAATTCCACAGGGACAACTGACTGATTGATCACAAGCCTAATTTCTCCAAACTCTAGCAATCTGGTACCCATCCGGGATTTTTATCCAAAGATTTAAAAAGTAAAGTAAGCATAAGTACATGTCGTACTCAACAAATATAATATGGGGTTCATGAGGCTCAAAAGGTTGACACTAGTTTAACTGCGATTAGCTTTTAATTGTCACAATTTTAGCATAGGAGTAGCAACAAGTTTATCACAAGCCCATATAAACACATGATCAAGTAAACATGAATAATGAATAGCATAAACAGTAATCATTAGTGAGCATCTTCATCATCCGTATCATCAATGTTCATCATCTATTCCGTAAGGGTCTAAGGCCGCTCGTGACCGTGAGCACAGCTGATATACCAATTTTACACTCTGCAGAGGTTGTACACTTTCACTGTGAGTCGTGATTTACCCTTTTGCCCGAGGTGATCAGCCTCTAGACCCACTACCAAGGAAGGTCGGCAGGGTTCACTATTAAGTCCTTCAAAGGTTCATCTAATAAGTTAGAGCTGCTAGGTTTCTATGCCCTACGAATGTAGGGCTCCCCTTCTGACAGGCATAATAACGTGCAACCTATACATTGACGTACAGAGGCCGCACTATATCCAACCCAAAACACACCCCTTTTGCGCCATAAAGGTAACCTCTAACAAGCTAGAAAATGTCCTTGTACTGAGCTAAAACTAGAGCCATGTAGCCCTCACAGTTGTACTGTAAGTCTCGGATATTCGCTTACAAATAAGTCCTTAGGGAGAGGAATCTAGAGCACCATAAAAACAACCCAATACTCTAGCCTCCTTGTTCCATATTGCTAAAAGGCATCTTTTAGTGTTTATTTCATATTCCATTAGTTAAGTTACCATATCATGGTTGTAGTTGAGCACTAGCATCATACTACCCAATACAATAACCCATAGGAATCAAGGTACGAGGTAACAAAGTACGAGGTAACAAAGTACTAGGAAATCCTTAGTGGTAGTCAAGGTAAACACATGCAGTATGAATTAAATAATATTAAGGTGAATAGGACAACAAGGAAGATCTCATGCTATACTTGCCTTTTACTCTTGCTCACATTTTCCTCACACTTTGCTTCTAGACATCATCTTCTGATCTTCAGCGCTCACAAGCGGTTCTCGTTTTACTCGTAACAAACACCATGCATAGGCAAACATACAAGCAATAGATAAAAGACACTAAGAACAGTACACCACATAAGGTAAAATGACGTACTAAAAGAGAACCAATCGCTACGGTCAACAGAACACAAGAGACGCCGGAAATGGAGCTACGGTTGAAAAGAAACGACTACCGAGAGTTTATATTATATAAAAGAAAAGCCTACAACTACAAGCTTGATTTATTTTAGTTAAACATAAACATGGAATAGTCATTAGTTCAGATTGGACAAATCATATTTATACTTAA